GTATCATTACCAGTTCAAGATCCAGTTCATCAACCAACTTGAGAAACCAGTAGAACCAACTTTTACTATGACACTCTTCGGAACAAAAGAGGAATACCAGAAAATTACCATCACTCTGTGAGTATAAGGTGCAGCCCCGTCTATGGTGATGGCATGCTACTTTTTCTCACAGGGTCTAGAAGGACCCCGTACTTTTCAAGGGCCAGGCCAGACACAGCTTACTCTTCTCAGCCCATACAACTGCCCCAAACACCTGTCAGAAGGGATGTCCACCCCAAGCCCAGCGCCTTGTCATCCCTCAGCCTCACCCGGGTCCCACAGATTGCTTTATGGTAAAATGACCTGTGTTTACAATGGGTTCATTGTGAGGTGAGCTGAGCAGAGAGGGAAGCCAGAGGTGGCAAAGTCCGTCGTCCACACTGCAGGAAGAAGAGCCAGGCAGGAGGAGCAGGGAGGGCTGGAGCAGCTGTCTGCAGGACGGCCCTGAGCTTCTTTTCAGTGAGTTCTGAAACCCATAACCCAGAAACAAAACTGCTTTCAACTTGGCACAAATTTCCCACCTCGGTCAGCCTGCACTGCCTGCCAGCCCTGCCCATCTGTCCTTTGCCCTGTTACATACCTGCTCACAACGTGAACAGTAACCTCATGCCTCCCTTGGAGGCTCCCCAGTCTCACTGACCACATCTCGACCCTCAGTATGGCCTCTTCCTTGGAAGTGCCAGTAGGCCTCCGCCCGCTCCAGGGACAGTCCTCAGCTTCCAGAAGATCTCTCCCAGCTTTGGATCTCTGGTCATCACACTGATTCCGACATTCAGCAAGTATTAGTCCGTGCTGTGCCTCAGAGGTAGAGAGGACCTTAGCCCTAGGATGCTCACAGCCTAGTGGGGTGGATAGATTCCTAAGCAGTTCTTTACAACATTCTGCAGGAGGAGCTATGACAAGCCATGCAAAGGAACCCTCCATCCACCTGTCTCTCCCTAAATCCAGTGTTACCTTTGCACTGTCCCAGATCTCTCCTGGGGAATAGTTCCAAGGTGGAAAGGGCATATAGCTGCTCAGTCAGTGTTGGGACATGTTAATGTCTTGGAGACCAGTGAGTAAACCTGCTAATGATACCTCAGGCTCTGCATTTAAATCTTGCTCCAAATTGGTGCATCCCTTTAAAATGTGGTTTTCTATTACTGTTAAACTTTGTTGTTTCTATTTATATGGGGAGGAAAAAAAGCATGAGTGGGGAGATAAGAGTAGTGGGTGGCTCTACTGTGTTAATCAAACCTCCAGGGAGCTGAGCTGCCCAGAGATCATTGCCAAAGGCCCACTGTCTTCTCAGGGGCAGTTTTCCTGATTTGTTAACGTAGAAGCTAGTAAGCCTGAGCTCAACAGAGTTACCAGATTCATTATGGCAGAACTCTCAGAGCCTCTTAAATATGCTAACCCAGAAGATACATGGCTTTCCCAGTATTAATGGTCTGGCCCACCCACTGCTGTTTCTACTAATAGTCTGTCCCACACCAGTTTGGAAAATGCAGCAGAAAAGACCTTCCCAAGTCACTCAGGCAAACCCAACACAGCCTGAATGTGCCCAACACGACTTTGCTGTTACAAATAAACTAGGTCTGATTTCCTTTGTATCTTCAAGGGATGAAGAAATTACTAGTAATAAAACCTATTCCTTTCTTATCACGTTGGATTTGGATATCGGTGAGCTGATCATGATCAAGTTCAAGTGGGAAAATGGCGCCGTATGGACCAATGTCTGGAACACAGTCCAAACCATCATCCCATGGAGCAGAGGGCCCCTCTACTCAGGCCTTGTTGTAAAGACCATCAGAGTCAAAGCGGGAGAAACCCAGCAACGGTGAGTATTGACTCAACCTCCCTTGACATCTATCAGGCATCTCCATGTGCCGGACCTCCACAATTAACACTTGCACTTATATCATAAAGTGGACACTATCATGTCCTAATGACGGCATATAGATGCTCAGAAAGGTGAAATGACCATCCCGAATTCACACAGCCATAGGTGGAAGGACTGGGATTTGCACCCAGGTCTTCTGACTCCCAGTCTAGACTCTTCCAGCTGCCTGTGGTTCAGAGCTACTTGCCTCGGAGTTTGAGAATCGCCTCACTGGCCCAGTGCCCTTCAAACTTCAGTGCGCAGGTGGATCACCAGGAGATGTTTGTGGGTGCTGCAGTCCAAGGACCGCACTTTGAGTGGCAAGGACCAAGATGTGCCATTTCCTTCTTACTGCTCACCCAGATAAATGCTTTCAACAGATCGCAGTCTCGACATCCCATTCTGTGAGGGTGCCCCTCAAATCTCAGAGTGCCAAAGAGCCACTGGAGAGCTTATTAAATATGCAGGATTCCCGAAGCCACCTGTGGAACTTCTGATGTGCAGTGGTTTGTGAAGGGACCCAGGACACACAGTTGCTAATAAAAGCCCTAAGAAATTCTGATGGGAACCAATGGAGCAGGCTTAGGAAGCCCTGCTCTGTGCGATTTAACATCTCCCTTGGTCCCAATGTCCCCGGGGACAATAAGGGACTGGGGACAGAGTAAGACACAAAAGAAAGAAAAGTGGTCCAGATGCCCCTTCAGTCCTGTCAGCAAAGGGATGCCCAACATATTTTGCCATGGCAACTCTGCTTTTCTAGAGTTCTGCACTTCTCCATGAGAAGAGAATTCTGTCCTTCCCCACACCCTTCCTCCTCCTCCTCCCCCTCATGTTCAGGAAACTTGTCTCTCCTCTCCCACTGCCCTTTGTTGGGGAGCCCATTTCTCTCTCCGGCTTGTCCTCAGTAGAGATGGAGAACAGCAGGCCTCTCACCTCTGAACTATGCTCCTCCCTCACCCCACGGGCTTCATGGCCAAGAGTGGGCCCGAGGCAGATTTATGCCCCCGACTCCCTTATACCACAGCGCTCTGAGATTTTATCTCCCCGGGATACAAAATCCTGGCGATTACTAAGAGCATACTCTGCAGCCTGCCAACAGATTTCTCCACATGATCAATTTGAGAAAATTCAAGTGCTTCTCTCCTCTTAGACACTTGGCTATTCTTGCATGACTTTCTAGCCCTTTAGAAGTGCTCAGCTTCTGACAGCCACCCCTCCCCGCACTCCCTCAGCTCGAGGGTCATTCCTCAGGCCTAGGGGCTGTTCACCATGACAATTCTCTGTGACTTGACTGGAAAGGCTGTATAAAACACACCATAGCCTTCTCACTGGTGCTTACCCACATGGTTCTGAAGGAGGAAAGAGCAGAGGGAAGGGAATGGTGCTTCCAGAGGTCCCACTGCGCCGAAGGCACGGAACCAGGTCTAGAGGGTTGGTCTCGTGGAACCCTCCCAGTGATGCTCGGAAATGGGTCATGCTGGCTGTGCAGATGAGAAAGCTGGGCCTCACAGAACCACAGCCTGGGGGCACTGCTGATAATTGGCTGAGTCCAGATCTAACTCAGAGCTTGTCTGATGCCTTCCTTGTCTCTTTGCTGTCCATGCACTGTTCCCAACAGTTCCTTCCTCCATTCATCTGGGCCCCATGGATCTGACTTTCCTTAGTCTAAACCAGCAGTGTTGAAGTGCTGGGTATTCACATATCTGTACATCAGACCCTTCCTCGGAGCTGTAGGAGGTACATGCTGAAAAAGGAGGAGGGGTGGTGAGACCTATAGCTTTTTAAGTTGCAAGTATTCAGTGGCTCCTGTGTGTCTTCCCAGCATGAGGTACCATCAGGGGATACCAAAAAAAAAAAAAAAAAATCTGAGTGTGGCCCTTGGCAGAAAGAAATTCCAGGACCTAATAATTAGGAAAAACAAGATGCATAAATTTTACTAATAACATACTCCCTCCCGGTGCTTCTCAAACCTTCATGTGCCCAGGAAGCATCTGGGAATCGTGTTAAAATGCAATTAAAATGTAGGTGGGGTGGGGCCTGACATCCTGTGTCTCTAACAAGCTCCCAGGTGCGGCTGCTGCTGGCTCACAGACCACACTTTGCATAGGGAAGGTCTAGCATTGCATGGTCTAGAAAGCCTAGAAGGGAGACAGCAGTTCAGTGGTGTGGCACCACCACGGGCTGTGGGGAGGCCAGGAGGCATTCCCAGGGAGAGAGGCAGCGAGCAAAGCAATATGGCGGCCAGAACCCGATGGCCTGCGTCTGCCAGCCCTAAGCTCAAATTCCACTTGCCGCTCACCATCTGTGGAGCCTCGAACACTAACTGCACCTCGCAGAGACTCGGTTCTTTAGCAATAAATGGAATTTATAATATGTATCTCATGAGACCAATAACAAACTACCAATTTTTGAGTCCCTCTACAAACCGTAATCCCAGGGCCAGGATGCAAATATGCAACCTCACAGTCTTAATCTCTCTGCTGACTACAGGGTACAAAAATGGTCAAGTAACTCACTCCGTGCCTCCACGGGAGGAATTCAATGAGAGGTGATTTTCTCATTCAGAGGCACAAAGTCAGAGGTGAGAGGACCTATTGTGGTGGAAGAGACAGGGCAGAAAACATTGGTTCTACAGCGGGACATCAAATGAGATCAGCTACACATAATGAGAAAATGCTCAATTTCCACAGTAATCATATAAATGCAAGACAAAAATCAATGAGATTATCGCTGGTCACCCATTAGCTTGGCAGGAATTAAAAAACAGACAACATCCAGAGTTGGTAAAGGTGTGGAAAAGCAGGCACCCTCATACACTATTTGTGGGAGTGCAAATTATGGAGCTTCTGCAGGAGAATTTCATTCAACAACTAACATTTAGTGAGCACCTACCTTATACCAGGCACTGTTGTAGGCACCAGGCAGAGAACAGAATAGACAAAGCCCTTGTTCTCATGGAGCTTACATTATCAAAATTTTAAATATACATAATACCCAGAATTTTGACTCTAGGTGTCCATCCTGGAGAAATACTCAAAATATCCACAAGAGATATACATGTGCAAAAATGTTTGTTGCAGTCCTATCTGTAAATAGTAAACCATTGGGAAAACCTCAATGTCTGTCAGTAGGAAAATGGCTCCAATACACTGTGGTACATCCACACAATGGAATATAGTACAGGAAGTGAAAAAGAATGAGACAGATTCATATGCAGTGAGATGAACAGGTCTCCAATTCCATTACTTGATGGCAATGAAAAAGGTCAGAAAAATACATACATTATAACCTCACTTCTCTTAAAAATTCTTTATGTTTGCATATGAACACTGATATATGTGTAAATGCATAGAAGTAGGTCTGGAGATGGGGCACCTGGGTTGCTCAGTTGATTGAACGTCCGACTCTTGATTTCAGCTCAGGTTGTGAGATCAAGCCCCGCGTGGGGGCTCTGTGCTCAATGGGGAGGCTGCTTAAGATTCTCTCACTCCTTTCTCTCTTTGTCCCTCCACCCCTCAAATAAATAAATAAATCTTAAAAAAAAGGAAAGAAAGAAAAAAGAAAAAGAAAGAGATCTGGAGAGACATAAACCAAACCAGGAAAGCAGAGGGGAATGACATTGGTGAAGGATGATGGCAAAGAGGATCTTTAATATTTGACTTCGTTTAGTTCTTTACCATTTGAATTTTTCAAAATTGCATTCACAAATTATTCGTAACAGTTTTTTTAATTTTAGCTTTATTGAGATATAATTGACAATTAAAATTAAGATATTTAAAGTGTACATCATTGTGATTTGATATACATAGACATGTGAATGGATCCCCCCACCACCCAGTTAACTAACACACCCAGCACCTCACATATATATAATCCAGTGTTATCAACTATAGTCACCCTGTTTTACATTAGATGCTCAGACCTTATTCATCTTATAGCTAAAAGTTCGTATCCTTTTACCCACCTCTCCCTATCTTCCCCTTCCCCAGTCCCTGGGAACCACTTTTCTACCCTGTTTCTATGAATTCTACTTTTTTGGGGGAGGGGCAGATTCCACATATAAGTGATATCCTGCAGTATTTGTCTTTCTCCATCTGGTTTATACACTATTTTAATTTTAAAAAAGTCTGATTTAATGAAGACTTGACCCTAGATGCAATACAAAAAAGAAAAAGAAGAAAGAAGAAGCCATAAACTAGAATTCTTTGTGACTACTGATAGTTTTTTTCCTAGTAAATGCAAGTTAGCAACACAAAACAGCATCTTAGGCCAACCTAACAAACGGTCAAAGCCGTCTAAGGCTTGGTCTCCAAGAGACACCCAAAACACAGAGTGATGTCCTCTCTAGACGGACAGTGTCTGCACCAATAAGAAGAAGGGGCTGGCCTTACAGAGCTGAGCCCAGCAGAGGCTGGTGACCATGGCCTCATGCCCAGGGACCTTTAAGAGCAGCGCTGACAAACTGGAGCGAGTCCAAAGAAGGAAGGCTGAGGAGAGAAGCCTGCCTTGTGAGGAACAGTTGAAGGAACTGCGAATGTTTGCCCTGGAGTCTGGGCAATGCAGTGAAAGGAACAATAGTTACCCTCAAATCTTTGATGAGCTGTGGTTGGGGAGAAAAAAGAACTGCCCCGAGGACTTTCTGTTCTTACTGAGCTGAAATCACCCCAGTGCAGAACTCCAGGAAGCAGCCTTACACTGATTGCTTTCACTGACTTGGGTTTTATTTTTCTCTGAAGTTACGAAAATATTTGTGCACGTAAGAATCCAATTTTTTTTTAAAAAAATAGCATGCATTACATAAATTGAGTTTTTATTTACAAAGGATGAAACATTTCAATAAGCTCCATCTAAAAGTTAACGCTGTGTTTGCTCTGTTTTCTCTTCAGGATGACATTCTGCTCAGAAAACATGGATGGCCTACAGCCCCACCCAACCCCGGAGAAAACCTTTGTGAGATGTGACGTAAACTCCAAAAAATTGAAGAGAAAGATCAGATGAGCTTCTACGAAGTTCCAGTGTGAAGAATAAATGATCTATTCCTCATCTGGAATGGTTACTTTATTTGGAAACCCAAGTTATATAAACAATCTTGCATAAAGTTTAAACAAAGTTTAGGTTTAAAGGGGGAGTATGTTTCACTATTCTAAAGTGAGCTTTTAGAAACTATATTATGTAACTGTATTCAAACATTTGTGTAACTAGAAATTTCCCTATTGTATCTCTGATTAAATGGTAATATATGCAATATATAAATAAGAGCCATTTTAGATCCATTGTCCTAATTTACAAGGTCTTTTACAGTTAAGTCAAATTCCCCATATTTCCCTCCTAGTTTATTCTGATCCGTTTTTTGAACCATGCTGGAAAGGTACTTCTTTATGACAGAACCCATGCTTCAACAAAATGAAATTCCCATTAATCACTAGTCATATGTCCCCACATACACATGCTTTTTAAGACAATTCAGCTCACTGAAAGAAGAAAAATTCTAATTAAGCCAATAGCTGCCATCATGAAGGTTGTACAATTATTTCACTGAATCAAACCAATAAAAGTAGAATTCTCCTAAAACTACTTAATGGCAACCTGAAAGCTGGACAGTTGGTCATTTTAACAATTAAATTACTATTGCACTAAATACAATTTTTCTCTTTTACTAATACTCGCATTAAAAGCTAATGGAAAACTTACCTCAAAGACTTAGATATCAGATTTCAAACTGTCCAATAAATGAAGTAATGACGTTTTAACCAGCAAATTCCGTCACAAAACATGTGAAGGAAATACTAGCCCTGGTCATGACTTGTGTATGTGTTTCAAGTAACTCAGAGAGGGAGAGCACACTGTGTGCGCTATGTTACTGGACTTGACTTCCGCGTGGCTTCAGCCCTGCGCAGCTCATAACGCACCTGCTCTTCAGCAGAGCAGGGCAAACCAGAGCTGGTAAAGGACAAATCCCAAAGAGATGCCTGCCTCTGATGAAATCAGTTTAAGATTGTCTTACACAAGGGCACGTGGGTGGCTCAGTCGGTTATGCGTCTGCCTTCAGCTCAGGTCATGGTGCCAAGGTCCTGGGATCGAGCCCCTGCATTGGGCTCTCTGTTCAGTGGGGAGCCTGCTTCTCCCTCTCCCTTTCCCCCCTGCTTGTGATCTCTCTCTCAGATAAATAAATAAACTCTTAAAAAAAAAAAAAAAGATTGTCTTACACAATTCACTTTTATTTCCCTTGGAAAGACCCATAAAACTAAAGGATGGGGGTGGGGTGATAGGGAGAAAGAATAGCTTGGTCAATGTTGCCTCCTGTCCTGAATGCTGATCCTGCCCACAGAAGTAACTGACCACACTTTTTTTTTTAAAGATTTATTTCTTTGTTTCAGAGAGAGAGCACATGAGCAGAGAAAGGGGCAGAGGGAGAGGGAGAGAATCTCAAGCAGGGTCCCCACTGAGTGGGGAGCCCAATGTGGGGCTTGATCTCACAGCCCCAAGATCATGACCTGAGCCAAAATCAAGAGTCAGATGCTCAACCGGCTGAGCCACCCAGGCGCCCCAGGACCTGACCACACTTTTAGGTGAAGTGTGTTATGTGTGTGCCCAGAAATAATAGATAGTAAAATGAACAATATGTCCCACTATGTCTAAAATAGTAAGATTTACAATAATATCACATTTGCATGGATTTGGCATGTTTTATCATTAACTGAACCAGAAGGAATTTAAAATAACACTTTTTTAAAAAACAACATAAAAGCACTCTTTGTTATACACCCTCCAGAGTCTATGCACACGTACACCAGGAAACACGGAAAAGAAAACTCATATCAGCCTTGAAAGTCATGACGACCAGAAACAGCCCAAATGTCCACCAGCATAACGCATAAATGAACTGAGGCATATTCTTACAAACGGACGGCCACAAAGATGAACCGAAGCTACGCACACTTACAGGAACACGGCCCACTCTAGGGTCATGATATCCAGGGAGGCACTTGGGGCGCAAAATGTAAGGCAGCGCTCATGGGTTCGTATGTTTGCACAAAGACACGAAAAATGTATACAGTCTAATATAAGCCAAACTAAACTAGATTGTTGGAGAGGAATGCCGGAGGGATAAAACTCGAAGTTAAAAGCAATAAAGCCACCAGCACAACAGGGAGACTGCGGTAGCTCTGGGAAGGAGGACGGACCCACCGGAGTTCCAGGTGCCAGAGGGACGGTACTTCTCACTCGGGGGACCGAGGCACGGGTGTTCATTTCTATAACCATTTTTTAAACTGTACATATGTATGCTATTCACTCACTTGGGGTATGAATGTCACATTTTGCAAAACAAAACAAAACAAAGAACCAAGAAGATAAAGGGCAGAGTTGAAACCACCATTTCTCTACGATAGTGTGATGCGTTTCAGTATTAATGTCATTTCACACAGAATATAATTAGAAGTTAGTTCATCTTGGGCCACCTGGGTGGCTCAGTCGTTAAGCTTCTGCCTTCGGCTCAGGTCATGATCCCAGGGTCCTGGGATCGAGCCCCGCATCTGGCTCCCTGCCCAGCGGGGAGCCTGCTTCTCCCTCTCCCTCTGCTGCTCCCCCTACTCGTACTCTCTCCACCTCTCTCTGTCAAATAAATAAACAAATAAAATCTTTTTAAAAAATTATTTCATCTCTAGGAGGAAAACTTGAAGAGACACAGTATGTCATAACATTTTGGGCAGAGAACTCAATAAGCAAGCCAACATGACAAATGGTTAACCAGAACATTTGAAATTCCTCTTGGCATGGGTTATTTTCACTTGGGAAGATGTGTTCATCGACATCCCATTTTCTGAAGTACATCTTGGTAGGGAAGTCAAATAGGGAAACTGAATAATGCAGCCACATCTGTTCATTGCACATGCAAAATGCTGGCTCGTGCACTCATTATATGCACCTCTCTCCAAAGAATCTGTATTTATGAGCCCACTCAGGAAAGATAACACTGGCATCCTGCCTTTCAGGCAAAAGCTTGTTTGTGCTTTTACTTCTAAGAGAGCACAAGGAAAGAGACAGAGAAGCGTCGATTACACTGCAGCTGGGCTCTTTGAGGTGCCTGAAGTCAGGGAGAAGGAAACAATCACTCCATTCACTCTAAATGAATGCACTCTCCTCCACAGCAAAGCTGACTGTCCTCAGTGTTCACCTTGATCATGTTGTTGCAAATATTGTGAAAGCTATGACCAAAGTTGCACATCCCGGGGTGGGTGGGGGGGTGGCACAAAGCAAGAAGCCAAGCTGCCCAGGGCAATGCGCCCCGCCCCCCCTGCCGCCCAGAGCCGGATTAGGGATTAGTCAGACGGATGGGAGACAGAGACAAGCAAGGGCAAGAAACAAGAAGGGAATCCCAAGAGTCGCCATCTACCCGCTAACCTTATAGGATACTACATACTTCGGCTCCAATCCCAGTACATGATCAATGGCCCCCAGACACCCCATCCTTTTCGCATCTCTGCCTTTTCTTATACCTCCTCCCTCTAACCCTCTCCCCTCAATTTCCTCCTCCCTGCCTAAGTGCATCTTATTTCTCTATCCAGGCCCATTATTCTCACAGTTATCTCCTAGCTCCGTCCAGCCCTTGGGGATCTTTCTAGTCTCTGAGTGCTCCCTTGGTAGTCAGTCATTCCTGCTCCCTCCTCTCTGGCTCCTCGGTCTCCTTGTCCTCGGCTCCACTCTTCCAGGTCGGCTCTCTGGGGGCCTGGGCCTCCTCTGCTCCCTCACTTCTCTCTCCCTAGGCAACCTCAGCCACTGTGCAGGCCTTCCCGTTGACCGTGTACCACAGCTTCGGTGTGGGGCTCTCCCCTGTGATGCAAATGCCCATGCAGCAGTGCCCCATGTCTCATAAGCCCAGAAAGTTCCACACTGAACCTCTCTCCTGCCTTCCCGAACCCACGGGTCTCCATGCCCCCTGCTCTGTGGCTCATGAATGTCCACACCACCCCTCAACCGCTGATGCCCAACACTGGGGCAAGGTGGCGGGGGAGGGGGTCATCCATAATGTCGCCTCTCCTCTGGGCCCCCACGATTGAAGAGTCACCAGATCCTTCAGCACGCCCTCATCTCTGCACCGAGGCTGCCATCAGTCCAGCCCCCGCCGCCGCTGTCCTCGCTGGACGTTTGCAACAACTTCCCACCTCTTCCCGCTGCATCCACTCTTCTCATCACAGCACCCAGGGCGAGCTTTAAAAAAAAGGGGCTGGGGTCAGATCCTATCATCCTACCAACGGCTGTGTAAAGCCGTTCAAAGGAAAAAGTCCCATATTTTCCCCCTAACCTCCAAGGCCTCTGGCCAAGCCCAGCCCTTCCCTCCAGTCAGCCTCCTCTGGCCCTGGATCCCCCTGTCCACGTCCACCAGGTCTCAACCCAGCCTGCAAGGCACTGGAACTGCCTTGGAAAACTTTAAAGCCACTGGTGTGTCCGCCCTAGAGATTTTTATTTACTTGGTCTGGGCAAGGCCTAGGCATTGAGACTTAAAAGCTTTCCAGATGTTCTAACATGCACTGAGTTTGAGAACCGAAGTTTGAAAACAGTGGGTCTAGACACACGGGCCACCTTTCAGTTCCCTCAAAAGTGTAAACCTCTGTCCTACCTCTGGGCCTTCTCCCATCGTTATGTCACTCACGCCCCCTCCACTTCTCCCAGCTTCTTCACTGGCATCCCCCCCAGTTCGGGTGTGACTGCCTTGGGGATAATTTAAGGAGGATGATCCCACCCTCCAAAAGCTTCTATCAGCTCATCCTGTTCTCCATAACTCTTAACATCTTTTCATTCTTCTGGAAAAATTATCTGTGGCCAGGCCCTGTGGAGCCGTGAACAAAAGGAGAAACCAGTAACACTGATCCCGTCTTTATATAAAGTTGTGTTATTTTATTCATCATAGGTTTTTTCATTAATTTTGACCTTTTAAAAATAGTGCCTTAAAATATTACTTATTTTGATAAGTGAGTTTCTGGAGCCCCTCTTCTACTGGGCACCCAGGGCGAGTGCCTCCCACCACCTCACCCTCGTCCTGGCGATTTATGGGACCGGTTATCCAATGTCTGTCTCCCCCACTGGATGTTGTGAGGCTCTGTGAAATCAGGGAGAGACTCTAGCTGTTGGCTGCTTTATTCTAAATGCCCAGCCCACTGTGGCACAGAGTTGCCATCTTGCAAATACGTGTTGAACCAACAAGTATGGGTCGTTCATCCTTTTAGAGGTAGGTCTAGTCTTTCTGAATACACTGTAAACCC